GAGCATTGGTAATGGGTACACGTCTTTAACTGTAATCTTGTTTAAAGCACGATAATCGACACATAAGTGCTGTTCCCCTTTTTTTTTAGCTACCAATAGTACGGGGTGTAAGGTGATTTGGATTCGCGAATAATTTTATTTTCTAATAATTCGTTTACAATTTCCCTGATAGTTGATCGTTCGCTTTCTGAAAAACGCCGTGGTCGAAACGTAATAGGTTTCTTATCCATTAAATCAATTTGCATTTCGACTATATCCGTGAACCCGACATCATAGCGTCCTTGCGCTATGCAGTCTCTGTATTCATTAAGAATATCAAGTACATTTTGTTGCACCCCTGTATCTTCAATACCTATCGTCACATTTTCTTTATTAACCTTATCGGTAACTTGGTGGTTTATTATAAGGAACTACTCCTCGTTCTAAGTTCTTTTTATTTAGACAAAAACGCTGTTGATGTCCCCTTTTTCTGCAATGATAACAACGGAGATTTCGCAATTCTCGATTCTCCATTGAAGTAATGAAACGCGAATTGACATTAACATCAAAGTTTCTAGTCAGAGGCGTCTCTTGCGTTTTTGTCGGTAGTGTGCGTAAATGTCGCGCTAAAACAGATGGTTTCGTAATACCGGCCGTCTCGACTGAAAATTTCACTTGTTGTTGTCGTCAATGTCACCCATAATCAAATTTACTTTATCCGAATCTTCAAGCGAAATTTTCATTTGATTGATTAATCCTAATTTCTCAAAAGCGTATTTATAGAGACTTTGATTTGGTTTTGGTTTACAAGAAAAAATTCTAAACATCGCCGTGTGCAGATCTCTTTTAGTTTCAAAATTGTCCAAAAGCATGGCTTTCCATTCGTTCCAAGTATGTGTGTGAGTTTCTAACCGTTGATACCACACTTCCGCCGGGCCACGTAATTTACTGAGAGCTAAATTACAAGTTGTTCTATCTGACCAGTTATACATTTTTGCGTACTCATCTACCGAGTGTAACTATTGATCCACATTGTTTATAAGTGGATCAAAGGAAGACACTATTTCTCTAGAAATACTCAAATTCATTTCGGTACTAGGTTTTGTTTGTCCTAATTTGTCAATAAGCTTATTCATGCTTTCCACAAGCAAATAATTCATGCGTAAAATATCGGACGAAGACTCACCACTCGAATGTCGTTTCAAGGTAACGTTATCTCTAGCTGTTTCAGGAAAATCACTCCTAAATCTCCTAACACCAGGTTCAGATTCTTCCCAATCCGAGCTGCTTTCCATTTTTTTTTTATCTACGACACTGATAAGATTTGACTGGGCACTATCCCACTCCTGATGTAAAAACAACTCAAAAAAAAACTCTTATTTAACAAGTGTTTTAAGTAAAGTAAACTATATCTTTTGAAAGTTTGATCAAGAATAATCCAGGCCCCTTATTTTTTTTTATTCGCCTCCAGTTGTTGCCATTCCTTCCGTCTCGTATATAAAGACTTTATCTTATTTATTATTTTAAACAAATCAGCCAGTCGTATATTCATAAACATTCGTGGCCTCAAACACTATAAATAACTAAAACAAATCTAAACAATAATAATTCTTAGTATCAGAAGTTAAATAAGTCTAACATTAATAATTCTTAAAACTATATCAATTCGGCCAACCTGACTTATTCTAGTCCTCGAGAATGTTTATATGTTCAAAACATACGATAATATAACATTAGTATTAGTATTAGTCAACATTTAACAGGATATTAGAAATTAAAATCTACAATTGCCACATAATAATATTCCTTAAAACTATGGATATATAATTTATTTTACAAATTTAAGTCTATCAACAGAAATAATAACCTTGTACAGCTTATCCCTTTGCTTTTCCCCTCAATATCTTGCACCAAATATCTGTCATTACCCACCAGTTTGACAATTTCGTATGGGCCTTTATATTTGGGTGACAGTTGTAATATAAACAATTAATACATATGTTAATATACTTTGTAACGAACTCTCTCTTCCTAGGAAAATAATCACTTTTCTTTACGTTTTCCAATGCTTTGTCAACCCCTAAATGTGCAAGATTCTTATGAGCATTACTAACAATATCGAATCTTAAATCCACCGGGACATATAATCTCCAAACACCAGTTTTCGAAGTTTTATATACCCTACCACTGTATAACGTAAACTGTTTATGTGTATTTATATCACCGTCTTCTAACTTATTAACAATAGTTTTTGTTTCTATACACGACCTCTGTATGGCGGCCACCCAGTCTGTATTAACTGTAATTCCCAAGACAGGCAACCCCGAAACCTCTATCTCTTTAGCTATCTTATTATTCTCGGCCTTGTGGTATTCAAAGGTATAGTCGAATTCCGATAACCTGACAAACCACCTACCGATTCCAGGATTTAAATCCCTCTTTTTGGCTAACAACTTTAGACTATTACAGTCGACCTTAATGACGAACGGTATACCTAATAAATATACCCTAAATTTTTCGACTGCTGCGACAATTGCTAAACATTCCAACTCGTAAGAGTGGTATATTTATTCTATCGGCGTGGTTTTACGGCTTGAATAAGAGATTACCCTTAATGTTTCATCTGATTGTTGTTGTAATAATGCCGCCCACAGACCGTTCGCAAATGCGTTTGTATGTAATTCGGTATAAGCCTTGGGACCATGAAACTTAATACTGGTCTATTTGCCAGAGGCAGTTTGATTGAATTGAATGATTGTTGCTTTTCCTCCCAACGAAAATGAATGTTCTTTTTAAGCAAATCGCGAAACCCTTCACAAATAACCTGAAAAAGCTAGCTAAGCCCAAAAACGAGCGCACCTCATGCGTGTTGGTAGGCAATTCCTTCGCGTGATATAGTAAACCCCAATAGTCAATCTTTCTCTTAAAGAAATGACATTTACCAAGTTTTAAAGTTAAGTTTGCAAGTCAGTAGGATATCTAGGGGCAAATCTCCTTATCTCCCAATGCTTTTCTTACGGCACTTCCGCTCGTTAGATTTGGCCTCTCATTGGTCCGCCCCGTCCCCTTCTTGTGCCATGTGGGTGTTTTTTGTTGTTATCCTCCATTTTTTTAACGCCTTTGGGCTTGAAATCGTTTCCCCCCTGTTCCCCTCGCATTGCCTTTTATGGAATATTTTCTTATGATGTTGTAATCGTCAGTAGTAATACACTGGGGCTTCTGGGACTCAGAATGGTCTGTCCATCCAGTTCTGACCATCGTCCAGTTCTTCGACACCTTTGGAGGTCATTCTTCAGCTGAAGAAGGTCATTCTTCGGCTGAAGAAGGTCATTCTTCGACTGAAGAAGGTCATTCTTCAAGAATGCACACAAACACACACACACACACACACGCTCAGGCAACACCCCGTACAACCTCCTTCCACCGTAGACGTCGTCGCTGTTGCTGCAGTTATGGGTAGTTGTAGGGGTTGTTTATTGAGCATGTGTGTTTTGTGCGTGTGTGTGTTATTTTTTTTTGTGTGTGTGTGTTGTGTATGAGTATTGTGTGTTGTCTATTTATGTCTGTATTGCGTTGTGTATTTGTGTGTTGGAGGAGGATGTATGGATGATAGTTAGGTGACGTAGACGATTTCTTTCGCGAGTCCCAAGTCCGACATAGTTCAACTACTACTGACGTAGACGATTATTTTCGCGCGGCCGGGTTCGAACCGAGTACGAGTGCGAGAGTACGACCATCGATCATGACGTTAACGCCCTGGGCCACCGCCTCGGCCCGCTTGATCGATACCTAAAACCGGTTGATACAACAAGCGGCGTGTGTGTGTGTATGTGCGTATGAGTGAGTGTACCATGTCGCCCGTAGCTAGACAGAGCCGCAGCCGCCGTCGGCTTTGAATCTCGTAAAATGCATGTATACGTTTAGTTAACGTATATACTATAGTAGTAGTAGTAGTATGTAACATACATACATACATACACCTAGTTTGTTACACAAGTTACATTTTGTTATCGGCTTTCGACAGTCTGATACGCGATGATTTACGCCGCAATTATAACAATTAATTCTTTTTATCGACGAATTCTTATATTGTTTTTGTTTATAAAGTTGAGTAGGAACCTGATCATTTAATTTTTTATGATATGAACTGCTTGTATTACTGTTTTTAGTAAAAGTTATTTTAGTAATTGATTGATGACTCAAATAGTTGGCTAATTCGCCTACTGTTTTACATTTTGCCTCTCTTGCAGATAACGCAATAGTAACATCACCAAAACTTTCGATAACACTGTCAATCAAGAACCCTTCGGGAATATCCAAATTTTGTTTATTTAGTTTTGCCACCTTTTCGAAACAAAAATCACTCAAATTTTGTTTATAACTGGGTTCATAATTTGCTGCTTCCCCGAAACCGACTTGTGGCTAATTTAATTCGTCCCATTTATGAAAAGTTGTAAGTCCGTCTACTTTAATTAACCACTCCGATACACTTAATGAACCGACACCTGGATCAAAAGTTGGAATGACTGCCTCATTTACGGCTAGACTAAGAGTCGGAACATTAATTGTAGAGAGTCTATCATTTAAAAGAGTACTCATCTTTTCTTCCAGACGTGCAAGTTTCTTCTTTTGTCTCGAGATTTCCCTTTCATATGTTGAAGACCTTTTTCAACTTTTCTCTTTGTGTTTTCTTTTGGAACTCGTACTTCTGGTCGCTCTTTCCGGACTTTTCATGGATAGGGGTGATCTTTCTGGGGTGTATCCCTCTGAAGATGTGGAATCTCCCGATGACGGTAGTCGCCTTGATGTGGATGGTATTTCAGGGAGGTGTCCATCCGGAGTTTGCGATCTTTGTTGTCGAGAATTACTACTTTTATGTTTGTCCATTTTAATTGCCTTTAAACACTTGTCACTAACTTATTAAATGTACTTTTTATGCACATGGATTAACCAATCCCACTCCTGAATTTATAAGGGTTGAAATTAAACTAAACAGTTCAAGGTTCAAAACGAATGACACTATATATTTTTCATAGTCCATACATCGACTTTTTATATATAACCTTTCATCGTCATGTCTTAGCATATAATAATCCAGTTTGTCATCCAGTTACAATCTCATCCACATCGCTCGTGTTGACCTTCCTAAGGCGCCTTTCCTGATAACATAACCCAAACATCGGCTCTCGATCGGCTACCAGGAAAAGCCCCTTTCTTGTACCTCTTACAGAATATAGGACAGACATTGTTCCTCGATAGACCACTTTAGTTACAATCATGTACATAATTGGATGTATATTATTCCTTAAAAGGGCTATTTGTTTTTTTTTAATGGAAGCAGAAAGTTAAGGAAACAAAAGATAAACAACATTGAAGATATAATAATCATGTCACCACAAAAGTAATGACGCATTCGACGGATCAGGTTATTATTTATAATTTATAAAAGTTTAACTGTCACTTGATTTTTAATTGGCACGAATTTTATCAAATTGATGTTTTATGCATTCAATAAAAAATATCATCCTATCAGAGTTTTCCCAATGATATTTTTGCATTAGTGAATAAAACTTCAATAATGAATACTATATACAAAAACTTTATTTACAACAAATTTACTAACTATAAAAATAAACGGATAACAACTAAATTATAATGAAGTGACTAAAAACGTAATCGGACAAGTTGAAGGACAAAATGTAGCTGACTTGAAAATATGTGACAAAGATGAACTTATCGTAATACCACCACCAATACCTAGCCAAAACCAAACAACGGAAAACAGGTTCGCAGAACTAAGTATGGGCAAAAACCCAACAGGGCAATACCCTGTCTCGAGTAATTGCATTCCTAATACATGAGAAATATGGACAGAATGTCATAAAATTAAATGAGGGTGAATGCGACCGCCGAATACTTATATTGACCCTATCTATTGTAGTTATGCCGACACTGTAATTATATGAGGCACTATTTGGATGACATTCAATAAAAATATTTTTTGTAACCTTATCGTGACGAATATTTAATTGTAGGTATTTCTTTACTGTAATAAACTCAATTATATTCAAATTTTGTGAACAATACTGGGCGTTAGAAATAAAGTATAAAATTAAAACTGACACAGTTCCCTTTGTTGTTGTTCAATTTTGTCTACCATTTTGCATCGAATAGCAGTCACATCGATCGGGTTTGTGTCATCATTATCGTTTTCTGTCACGGATGTTAGTCGTGATCGGATGCCCAGTAATGCTTCATGAGGAGAGACATCAATAGATTTATTAATAGTACTGTTAATGCCAAGCTGGATATTTGTAACATTTTCATCCTATTGGTTATCTTCCAAATTTGCTCCCATTGTTTCCAGAGAGTCTAGTAACCATTTCCCCTTGGTATCCCAACAGCATTGAG